CTTTCACTGCTTTATTTTTTCTGTAGTATTTTTCACCATCTGAAATACTATTTATTTTATCTATTTGTTACTACCCCTACTAGAATGTAAGCTATTTAAGCTCTGTAAAGGCAGAAATTTTACTATTTCATTCACTGATTTTACCTAGCACAATGTTGGACACACACAGGAGGTACTCATAAATATTTGTTGAAGTAATGCCAAAAAATGAATAGAGAATATTATAAGGGGGGACTTATATGCCCATCACTCACCTTAAGAAATATACATACGTGGGACACGCCGGTAATCCTAGCACTTTGGGAAGCTGAGGCTGGAAGATCACTTGGGGTCAGGAGTTCAAGACCAGTTTAAGCAAGATCAAGACCCCCGTCTCTACAGAAAAATAGAAAAATTAGCCAGGCATGGTGGTGCACACCTGTAGTCCCAGGTACTTGGGAGGCTGAGGCAGGAGGATCACTTTAGCCCAGGAGTTTGAGGTTGCTGTGAGCTGTGATGACACCACCGTATTCTAGCCCAGGCAACAGAGTATCTTCTAACTACACACATAATTTTTGTTCCTTTTAGACAAATTAGAAAATACATATAAGCACAAAGGGGAAAAATATCCCGTAATCCTGCCTTCCACTGTTGTTTTAGTGTATCCTTAGTAGCTGTAGGACCTTAGGCAAGGTTCTTAACCATGGAACCTTGGTTTTCCTCAGTTTCCTACCTGTAAAATGGGGATAATGATAGAATTTACCTCATAGGATTATGGCAAGGATTAAATGAAAGTCCACATAGAGAGCTTAGATAAAGAGTATGTAGATGATGGTGATTACATAGCCTTTCAAATGATTTCTTTATTCTTTTTTAAATACAAACCTATGTGACTTGTAAATCATCTTGGGGATTTATTTGGGAAGCACACAGTCATTCCTGGGGTTTCCTCAACCAGTAGTCTTATAGTCAAGGTGGAACGTACATTTGCATGGGCAGAATACAACGTGGGGCTGCCGTGAACTGACTGTGCTGATCACTCTCTCCAGGTGAAGAACATCATTTACCATGCAGTGAAAGATGCTGTTGGCACCCTCAAGGCTCATGAATCCAAACTGGCAAGGTCTTAGGCACGGAGAAATTCCAAACTCCCCTGTGAAGCAGGCCTTTCACTCACAACACTTACAGGGAACGGCAGGCATCTCTGCCGGAGCAGAGGTCCTTCCTGGAGCCAGTGTGGTCAGTATTACAAACTCTCCAGCCACTCTTTTCTATGCTGCCTCAACACCGAAGGTTGACACAGGAACGTTGCACTGTTCACACACACAGTTTCAGACTCCAAGCCGAGGGTGCCACATCCCCATCCCGTGGCCTTTTGGGAATCCGAATTGCCTGAACATCGCTGGGCTTTCCTGCATATTCTCCTGATTTGAGATTTTGTGGAAACCAGGAATGTGGGCACACCTTTCTTTTCTTTTCCTCTTGTGCCTAGTTAAGTGGGAATGTGTTTGAAGGTGGAGGGAATCACATAACTGGTACAGGTAGAGGTAATTGCTTAAACATGCCTGGTGGAAGCCTAACAGTGTCTCTGCACGTGACCTCTGACAAGGCCATCCCAGGAGACGGGGTGAAGCCATTCCCCGCACTCTCTCCCATGGACACTGGAGTCTTATAGGACCCAGGGAGAACCCACTGCTTTTCCCAGGAGGCTCCAGGATTAGGAAATGTGTGTATTTAGTGAAAAATAGGTTTGTAGTGAAATAGTTACTATTTCATGAAAGTAGATATTTTTAGAATTTTTGAAATACCACAGTTGTTTTCCTGGATTATGAGGAAAGGCACATTACATTTAGTCTTCCTTTCGATAAAATTCTTTGAAGAAATATGATTTTTAGAAATCAGCTGCCCATTATAGCACAAAATCAGCCAAAGCAGAATTTAAAAGAATTGGCTTTTTAGGATTCTTTAGTTTCTCCCCCTCCCATCTCAGTCTGATCTTGAGGGAACAGTCATCTGAGAAGGAATCTGTGGCGTCTGAGCTGTGGAGTGTCCCCGCGCGCACACACTGGTGACTCCAGGAACCATTTCCACCCATGACCAGCGTTCTCTGGGGACTCCTCTCGTGTTTCCAAATGGGAAGGACAGTTTGATTTCCAACATGAGGTTTTTTTGTTTTTTGTCCAGAAATATTCTCAGCAAAACTTTCCAACTCAGTGGAGTTTTAAGAATTTATTTGAAAATGATGGAATTCATTGGCCCATGGGTACACTGGGAAATGTATCTCTTTCCGGCTGTACTGTAGTGCCCTGCAGGCTTGTTTATATGTTCACAGTTACTTTTTTTTTTAATAAAAGTCATTTACTGTAGAATACTTTTAATTTCACTTTCTGTATTTTAATTTTGTTGAAGGGCTGATTGGGATTTCCATGTTCTTATTAAAAATCTAACAAATCTGTTTGGCGTGGACTAAATTCTTGCTGTGCCAACCCTTCTAAAATCAAGGTCAAATTAAGGACTAGGTTGCAGGTGGGGGATTCACTTCCAGGTCTTCATTACTGTGCTGCACCCAATTACTGTTCTTTGCTTCCTGAACTTTTGCCCAATTGGGAGAAAGGAAATTACCAGGGTGAGGTCAGTACGGTTTGGGGACTTGGGGATGAGAAGGGGCCACATAAATTAGAGAGTGGGAGGAGAGACAGGTTTCTTCATAGTTTATGCTCTGCGAATGGAGTAGGAAAGGTGGAGTCCTGCCTTTCTAGGGCAGAGTCTTGGGGAAAGAGCCGTGTGGTGTGTGGCCTGAGCAAGGTTTTGGGCAGTCATTGGTGGGATTCCTCAAAGCAGGAGGTCTGGCTGCCCACATACGAAACATGTGGTCCTAGACGCACCTTGGAGATGGTGGGAGAGGGCCCAAATGGGATTTATTTTTGTTTATCAAGCAGCAATTAAAGTGTCTTGAGGGGTGAGAACAGACTGCATTCCAATTAGAAGAGGCCTTTTGGAGAGGAAGTTGTAAAGAATAGCAAGAGGGGTCATCAGAGGCTGCTTCTCTGAAACCTTTTGGAAAACATCTTCCAAAGTGTTTGAGCCTGGAAATATAATTACTAGGTTGGAAATAGACCATTGTGTGGTTGAAGGATATTGAGTTTGAATAAGACCATAACTCTTTGAAATACAGAGCTCTGAATGTGTCCTTTCAGCCTGGATGGGCACAGGTTGATGCTATGGTCACCAAAAGGATTACACCTCAACATAAAGGGCAGAGGAATGCAGAAGCTTTGAAATGGGACAGGAAAGGAGAGCAATGGGGAGGGTGGTACTGGAGCTTGGTTGCTTTGGTGAAAATCAGGAGGCGGGCTAGCCTACATTCTGGATATAAATGTCTTCAGAATTAGGACATCCACTGCCACCAGTGTTTGTTGATGGGGGTGGAATTGTAGCCCCTGGGCCCATCTCTGACCTGAGTCCCAAGTCCCTCTCCCAGCCCCTCCAAAAAGAAGGTCTGATGCCTTGGGGGAGCATCCACCTTAAGATCACCAAGCTCTATTCCCCTGCAAAGCTTAGAAACTGACAACATAAAAACAGATCATATGGCCAGAGGAGGTCCTCTTTCAACTGGGGGTGATTGGAGATTGTCGAGGAGGGGGATGAACAGGCGCAGCTGTACCTTTGACTTGAGCTCAGGTGGATGTCTTTACAAGGCCTGTGATGGGGGAGAAGACTTTGCTAGTCAGCAGTTGGAGGATGTAGCCTGTTTAGGTGGACTTCTTGGGTTTGTATTTTAGCAGCATGACTTAGTGGTTTCGTGACCCTCAACAAATTATTGAAACTTCCTAAGCTTCCCATCTCCTCATCTTCAAAAGGAGGGTAATTTTAACCTCTGCCTTACAGGGTGGTCAAGAGGATTCCCTGAAATAATGCATGTGAAGCTCTTAACACAGGGCCTGGCACAGAATAAGCACTCCAGAAATCATAGCTATTATTCCTCCGGGATATTTAAGCCTTTCAGCATGATGCGGGCAGCGGAGGAGGTGGGCTGGAGCCGTTTTCAGGATGGAATCGAAGGCCTTCAGGACCTCAGCCTAGGGCTTGAAAGCCAAGGAAGGTGAAAACGCGATTAGAGGCAGGCAGGGCACTGCGAGTTGGAGGCGCATGCCCGGCCACAGCAGGTGCCAGGGGTGGGGGCGCGCCGCCGCCGCGGCCTCCCCTTTAAGAGCCGCCGCCGCCCACGGCCCGCCGCTGCGGCAGGGACCTCCCCTTTAACGGCGGCGGTTCGGCGCTCCGCTGCCCCCGCGGCGGCTGCTGCTGCTGCTCCTGCGGCTCCTGCTGCCGCTGCCGCCGCTGCCGCTCGGCCTCGGGCAGCTGCATCCTCAGGCCGGGCCGGGTCCCCGCCCCGCGCTGCGCCCGGCCCCGCCATGGTGTCCTGGATCATCTCTCGCCTGGTGGTGTGAGTGCGGCGGGGGCGGCGGGCGCGCCCGGTGGGGGTGATGCGGGCTGGCGATGGAGGGAGGGCCGGGATGGACTGCTGGGGCTTCACACGGCAGGGTCACCTAAAGGCACAGCGTCCCTCTTAGGGTCCCCAGAGACAGGGAGATGTGGGACCCAGGACAAGAGGGGCAATACTAGGGAAGCATGGCAGGCCTGGCTTCCCAGGGACCTCACCCGCATTATTTTTAAAAACCGCTTTTATTTTTGATTTCCCTGTCCGTGCGCCCATCCCAGGGGCTGAGGGGACAGTTTGATTTATAAGGGGAGGCAGGCACGTCCCCTCCCTCACCTGGCAGGTCTGAGCTGGAGGAGCTCCTCAGACCTGGGCCCTCGTCTCCCTGGGGGAAGACGGGCAGTAGAAAAGAGTGGGGAGCCAGGCAGGGCCATGGCCAGCACCCTGGGCCTCCTCGAAGGGCCCAGGCCCTCCTGACCCTTCCACTAACTGTCAAGAGATGAGGATGAGGACACATGCCCTTAAGGCCCCCCAGGGAGGCAGTCTGGGTATCAAAGCTGAGATGCTTGGAGGACAAAGTGTGGGAGGTAACTGGGAGAGGAGGATGTGTCTGCTCAGCTTGGGATTGTGAAAGCCACCGAGGGGAGGACGTTCGGTGGCCTTCATCCCAGGCTGCCAGCCACACTGTGGAGCTATGTCCCTGG